TAGATGATTTCATGGCTCTGAAGCTCCCTGGGGTATAATAAATGCCACGTATGAACGAGAAATTAAAAAAAAAACAAAAAACACTTTAATTCAAAGAAGTAAAGAAAATTAATCATGGGACCTATGTATTTATTTTTGTTAATTTTGTTTTGTTTTGGTAGATACAAATGAAAAATGAGTTTTTGCTACATGTGTTGGATACTTAAGCTTATGCTCAAAGCCTGGGTAAATATAATAATACTGAAAGAAATAAACTGAAAACCACAGAGCAAATATTTATAACCAAATACTCCACCACAGGGCTGCCAGTGAAATTCCTCTCTAATAAGCCCAGCTTAGTAGTTGTAAACTCAAGTTGAAAAGTGTGAATCACTCCCTAGTAAGTCACCTTTCAGGTGACATTTCTCAGGAAGATCTGTATATGCTACTCATATGTATAATTAACTGCTACTCACACATTTCAACCAATCGTAATTGACCATTTCAAAAGCCACTGAAAAAGCTGTCGGTTAACCAGCTCCAGATAGCTCTAAACATAATTTTCTCCACTCCTTACACTGATACCAAAAACGCAACTTCGGTTTTGGAGGAGGAACCAAGGAGACGATGGAGTAACTACATACCTGAAAAAAACTATGCGTTGTCTCTTTTAACCTCCAACCTAAGGCCCTCTACTTCCCCTCCACTTACACTTTCCATCTGTCAACAAGTGCTTGTAATTTTATTACGCTGTCCTCTAGTTTATGCAGAGTTGGTATTATTTTACAGAGTTCTGTTAATGGACTGGATAAATGGTAATGCTATTTAAACTAGTCTCTTGCTCCAACAAACACAGCTGCAACTGTACTACTATTTCTGAGCAAACATCTTGACCTGAACATGTAGTGCTCTCTCAACCCGTCCAAAGAGAAATTGGAGCAGACAGCAAAGGAAAAGCATATTTGGCCGCTAGCAGCAACCAACCGTGCCGAATCATAATTCATATACAGTGCGCCCTCTCTTCCCTTCAGACTGCACTGAGAGTCCAAAGGGTAGTCTGTGTGCTCTTCACCTGGCATCTCATGTTCAGCCAAGAGTCAAACGGTGATTAGTCATTACACAAGTGCAACAAATATGTACACACTCAGGGGTGGGAAGAAGTAGGCTTACAGTTGTGAGTATGAGAAACAGAGTTTATCCTTGCATTATTATTTATTAAGTAAGTATTGCATTATTTATTATTTACCTATTTTTGCCCACCTTTGCCATTTCCAGTACATCAGACTAGCTTTAATCTAAGCAAACAATGATAAAAATCAAACATCAGTGTATGAACAATGTATTAAACTTGTAAACGTTTTCATTGCTTATAATGTCCTGTAAAACTGTCCTAAGTAAGGATTAGAGATACAGTAGGTTTGGGAAAAGAGAGATGTTAATTAGCATTATGCAACCATTTATAATGAGAAATTAAATTCTAAGTGTGTTTCTTTCATGAATTCTAGATGTGTATGCCTTTATTACATCACATAATGGGGAAACTATGGATCAATTAATATGCACATGCAATAACCAGTCAAATACTTTCCCTGTCCCCAAATATTTTCCCTGTTATTTGTCAAAAATCCTACATCCTTTGTTCTCTGGCTGTGAAGGGAAGCTTCATTTTTATTTATTTTTCCCCCTTTATTGATTAAGATATTACAAATGTGTCCTTATCCCCCCAATGTCCCCTCATCCCCCCTATCCTGCCCTCACCCTCACCTCCTGTTGTCCTAATCCATCGCTCATGCATATATGCATGCATACAAGTCCTTTGGTTGATCTCTCCCCCTCACCTCCATCATCCCCTATCTACCCTCTGAGTTTTGAGCATCTGATCGATGCTTCTCTATCTCTGCATCTGTTTTTGTTCATCGGTTTATGTTGTTCATTATAATCCACAAATGAGTGAGAGCATGTGATATTTATCTTTCTCTGACTGACTTATTTTACTTAGCATAATGCTCTCCAGCTCACACATCTACATACAAAACTATCCTTTAAAATGCTCATTTAAAAATGAAGCTTCCCGAAGCCCATTTTCCCAAGTGTTAGAATATTTGCTTAGGGTGAGCTAGTAGGCACCTGTATCATCTAAAGAAAATGTGAACTAACGCCCTTCCTCTTGGAAATTACACTAACCAGGCAGTTGGCTTCCCAAGCTTTTGTTCCTTTATTTATTAACAATTCTTAATGGTGGCTGTTTAATTTAACTAGTGGTCCCCATCATAAACAACTGGTCTCATGTAGCTTGTGAGTAATCCTCTCAGAGAAAGATCACTCGCTGCTAACAAGCCACTAAATGGAATCCAAGTGAGACAACAGCACCTCAACTCAAAAGAAGATTCCTGATGTGAAGATGCTGAAAAACATGACACCTCCAAGTTTCTAAGTGTATGCAGTGTCTGTGTCAGGTGTCAACCCCCCAGGGATTGTAAACATTGAGCCATCAAGGGCTAACTTCAGGAATATCAAAGCAGTCAAGTCCCACTTGCAACCAGTCCCATCTAACAAACAAAACTTTACTTTCCCTCACTCCCCAGGGGAGAACTTGGAGCTATACAGGAAATCACAGCCCTGACCCATTGCCTAGCTAACCATTTCCCATTTTAAAAATGCTTTTAAATAACTGAAAATCCTTGCCTTAAAGTTTCATAGGTTCTCTTTCTTTAATTCACTTCTTTAAGGTTTGAAGTCTCCATCATTCATAGAGCAGCTTAAGTTACAAAATTATAACAAACCATTAAAGAAAATCCCCTGTGATATTGTACTATGTGATATTGTAAATAAATAAATAAAAAGAAAAGGAAAAAAATGATAACTGAATATGGTTGGCTGGTAGAGGACTCTGAACTGGATTATACCACCTGAAATGAAGACTCTTAAAAAAATTAACCCAAGTACTTCTAAAAAAATCAAACTTCCTGTTTCTCAGAGATAGTGTTAAGTTTCTTCACCTCTTTGGCTTCATAATTTAAATGCTAAATGACAGTCATTCTGTTTAAATTCTATTTTCACAGCTTCTTAGGAAATGGACACTTTCCTAAAGAATGTGAATTGTTTCTAGAAGCACACAATTAGCAAAGTGGTAGTTTAACAGTGCTCACTGTATACTAGCCTTGAACCCAAAGCTTCCAAGTCCCATCAATCACCCAAAATTAAAGCAGAAAGAATACTCTTAACCCCATTTCTATGATCCTTCTTAGAAACAAAGCACAAGCATTTAAAGACTAGAGGTTCGGTGCACGAAATTTGTGCACAGGTGCGGTCCCCTAGGCCTGGCCGGTGATCGAAGCATGACACATTTGGTCTCCAGAGGGCAGTTAGTGACTCATATTGGTCTGGCAAGAAAGGGCAGGTCCCAGCTGACCTCTGGGCCCTGGGCAGCACCTGGGCCCTGGGGCCCCCATGTGCCCCCCTCTGCCTGAGTCCCCCTGCAGAGATGCGGTGAGAAGGCTGGACACTGCAGGCCAGGGCACAGTGTGGGCCTCTGGGCTGCACAGCGGTGCCACACAGAAGCCAGGCAGGCAGCACGCTCTCTCCTGGACACAAGCTCTCTCCTGGCCGACGCCTGCCATGTTCTGCACCACCCCCTGGTGGTTAGCACATGTCATAACAAGTAGTCGAACTCACTGTCTCCCGGTTGAACTCCTGGTCGAACGACTGCCCGAGGGGACAATTTGTATATTAGGCTTTTATTATTTAGGATAAGGATCAATTTATATACATACATATAATCTTTAAAACAGCTTACATCCTATTTTCCTGGGTAAAACTAGTCCAGAGAGAATTATTGTTTAAAAAGGCAGTCTCTGGGCTTCTTTCTTTGATTTTTTTTTTTTTTTAATTTACTTAACGGAGTCAATTAACCAGCAGGGAACACAAAGCCGAGAAATACTGCTAGGTGATGGGCTCTCCTTGCAGGTACAGTATCGGGAAAGTCAGACTCTAGAGGAAGATCAGGTGTGTTGTTAGCGGGCCACACCTTTCCTGCTGGGGAGATTCTCTCTATAGTGAGCTGAGGTACCGGGAGGTCCCCACAGAGATCCTGGCTCCCCTGGGGGCAGGGCTGTGGAAGGACGGTCTCCCCTCTTCTGGAACTGACAACAATACTGAATTTGTAGGCTGCGGAGCCTTGGCCACAGAATCAAGTTCAGAAAAGAGCAATCCCTACACACACGACCATATGGGACTTCCCACCATCCCGGCGGGGGCCATTCTGAGCAGATACAGCCCAACAGTTTTCCACAACATCCGTGAACATCAGTAATTGCTGCGATGTATTTTCCCAACACTGTGGCTTATCGCCCATCTGCACGAAATCACTCCCATGGCTGAAAATCTAATTGTAAAAGCTTTCAAAAGTGTGTTTTCACTATTATATACTAGGTCAGAGAACAAGCATTTCAGGGAGGAAAAACTGATCCTGCCTAAAACTCATATTACACCCCTTCCCAAGTACTTCAATGACATACTTGATATGAAACCCTTAGTCATTCAGATTGCGAAGTTTGGAATTCTGGCCTTAAAAGGAACATATAAGAAGAAATGTTCAGTCCTTTTTGAATATCTTATAATACAGAAACAATGTTTAAAAAGCTAACATTCAGAACCCTAACTTGATAAGGAAACGAGGCCAACTTCCCCCAAAAAAGAAGTGTGGTGTCATTTTTCCCATCAGAACTGAATCAAGTGTTCAAAGAGAAGTTAGATACATCTCCTCCCCAGCATCACATGAGCAAACCAGAATGATGCAATCACAATCACACATTCATAAACAAGTCAATGCTAAGCAAACAAAACCACTGGATTCACTGGGAAACCAACCTTAAATTTCCATTGAAAACAAAGGCAAACTCTTAATCCATGAACCTAGTGATGAATACATTCCAAGAAAGCACATGGAAACAAATCCGAAATACATTTCATAAAACACAAGGTGCTACCCAGAGCAATGGTCACCAAATCGGTCTACTTACAGCCTGTAGAGCTTCGAAGTCCCAAGAAACAGCAACTCAGGAAACAGCTGAAGGTTATTTCTGTTTAAACGCCTTTTGGGAAAGAAAAAGAAAAAAAAAAGCGTCTGTTACACAGAAAATACCCAACAATGAAACTTTGATTTGGTAGTGTCATGCCTCATCCTGTTTTGCAGGAGAGAAAGAAATGGCATTCAAGAGAATCCAAGCATTGCAAATCAAAAGTTGGTTACACCTTTTGCTATATGAGTCGTTAAGGCAATTTTCCATTATGCTTACTCAGATCATGATTACTGGGGCTACACTCACATCCCGCGCAGTATCAGTCAACCGGAATATACACAGTGGAAAAGGATTTGACTCAGACTCTGGTGGTTCGGTAAGGAGAGAGTTCAACCTTCAGCAGAAATATCTCAGTAAGTGGCGCCCTAAGATAATTCATACACTGTCCCAAAAGGCCTATGTTATCAGCCAACGCACTGTGGGGAGATGAAATTCAATTTTGTTAGCTTTTCATTTAGTTCAGGGGTGGGAAACCTTTTTTCTGCCAAGGGCCATTTGGATATTTATAACACCATTTGCAGCCCATACAAAATTATCAACTTTAAAATTAGCCTGCTGTATTTGGTCAAACATTTAATTAACTCATCCCTAAAGCCTGGGCAGGGCCATACCAAATGACTTTGCAGGGCCCTATATGGCCGGTGGGCCAGATGTTCCTTACTCCTGATTTAGTTGCAGAAAGAAATGTGTGCAAAAGTGTCAGTGTGATAGGCAAAATCTGAGGGAAACCAAAAAGTTCAAACCTGAACCCATCGTTCTTGACCCTTGACTGAATTTGATACTGACTTATTACTAATTGGTGTCCCAGATGCTTAAATTATGTTTTTAAAATGTTTAGCTAATATTATAATGATTTCAACGTTTTAGAAAAGAATTTGATTCCAACTCTAACTAATTTAAGTCTCAATGCTATGTAACCAGTCTTGGAAAGACCCTCAATGCTAAGTTCTTTTAGATCATGCACTCTCGCTAAAGAGTGGGCCAATTCCGGCCTAGATGTATGAATGCTCCAACCTCATTCATTTCAGGTATACAATTTAACCTTTCAATAAAAATGAATTTGTATTATTCTGCTTTTCCCAAATGTGAATAAAATGATGAAAAGCTGATGCAAAATTCACACTTAAATGACATACAAGCTGCTATAAAGCACTAGAAAAGGGTAAGGAGTCCCAAAAACTAATGTCACACTGAAGAAACTGGAGGTATTTCGTAAGTCTTAAAGATAAATGTTCAGCGGACAATAAAGGAAGGCATATCAATCGATGGTGACATATTTAAATGGTCACCTTGGTGTAAGCAGAATTACACATTTGGTCTCCAGAGGGCAGACATGGCCAAAGGATTATAACTCTTAAGAAAGTAGATCATGGGAAAGACCATTCTAGCAATCACAGATATTAAGAAATGGAATGATCTGCCTTTAAGACTCCCAACTTCGTGTCCCATATTCATTCAGAGGCTTCCCAATTTCCTTTTCCCCCCTGCGAAAAGTGTAGTGACAAGAAATCCTACACAAGGTGAGAAGTTGGGCCAGGTGGAGTTCAGAACCTCCTCCAGTTCTAAAATGCCATGAGGCTACGACGGCAACCACAACTTTCGTTAGTGACTCATACTGTGGAGAAGTTGGTCATCTTCGGAAACATTCTCAGCACTTAATAAAATACATACTCATAAAAAACATGCCAAGATAAATAGGGGGGACATAGTAAAATTAGTGCTGAAAGGGTACACTTATTGCCCACTTACACGGATTGTTATGAATAAAGCACAAAACAAGGTTAATGCTAAAGTGCAACAAAAGCTTCTATTTATTTATTTTTATTTGCTGAGCCTGACTCTGAGGAAGGAATGCTCTCAGAGTCCACTACTACATGATTGTCATAAAATATTATTTACTTATGACTTGTTATATTTTTTTAAAAGTGAGTTACAAAGATTCACAAGAGTAGTAATGAGAATTTTTCTAGGGAAGCAACCAGTCTTGGAAAGACCCCCATTGTTCAAGAGCCAGCCCGGATTTCTGAACGACAGAGATGAGCTCTCATCATCTGAACCAAACCATCGGACTAACGAACATCACCAATGATTCTCCAGCCACTCTAGCACACTCCTTCCAGCCCTGTCCCTGCAGAGGCTGCTCTCTGTATGGACTGCTTTCCCTGTTCTCCAAATGGCACTTTCTTACATCCTCTGGGAAACTCCCCCGTTTCCTCCAATAGTTAGTTCCTTCCTGTGCTGCAATCTCACATCCCCACAGCACTTGATAAGTAAGAGGCAGCCATGCTGCATTATAGGTACTCACTCCCACTGGTCTGTGTCTCTTCAAGTATAAAGATGGCATCTTTGTATTCTCTCCCTTCTTCCCTGACACTCAGTAGGTCCTAGGAATGAGAATAGACTGCTCCTTTTGCATTGTGATGGAATCCAGCAAAGCCCTGGCATACGTATTTTAAATTCGGCCAACTTTCCTCTGGCCTGCTCCCTGAGCTATATGCCCTGGGTTTTACAAGCTCTCCCATGAACCTACCTACTGCCACACCTGCTTTCATGTGCCCTATAGAGCAATTACCTCCTTTCTTTTCCATCCACCTCCCTCCCCTCTGCCATTCTTAATACCATCTACAAACTGGAAGGAATTCAATGTTTTGATATATATAGTATTGATTTCAAAGGGGAAGGGAGAGGGAGAGCGATAGGAACATCAATTATGAGAGAGAATCACTGATCAAGTGTCTCCTGCACGCCCTCTACTGGGGATTGAGCCTGCAACCCGGGCATGTGCCCTGACCAGGAATAGAACCCTGACCTTCTAGTTCATAGGTCCATGCTCAACCACTGAGCTACACTGGCCAGGCAGGAATTCAATGTTTTTAAAAATTCAGATATATAATGCAGTGATAGCTACAATTAGACTTTTTGTTGATGGGCCTACATCAGTACAATTTCGGATATTGTGAGAAAGTAGATATTTCAGATGGGGTGCAGTGTCTTCTTCTTAATTTTTATTTTCACATTTCCAGTGGTTCTCAATAGCTAACACATCACATGAGCTTACTATGTGATGGTCACAGTTCTGAGAGGTTTACATGAATGATCTCACTCATTCTCCAGGACAGCCCCATGAGTAGGTGCTCTTATTACTGCTGTCCTGAGGGAGGCACACAGCGCACAGATAGCAGACTTGGAACTTGAATTCAGGCGAGGCAAGTCCAGAACCTATCACTCCTCTCAAAGGGACACAGTCTAAGCATTCCTACATAATGATTCAAAATAATAGGATGCTGAAAATTTCCTTCTCACCAATCTTTCCTTGGGAAAAACATACCTTATATAGCCCACTCCTTAACAATGAATGAACCGCCTGAAAGTAAGCCACCAAGTTTTATTTTAAAAACAAACTGGCTCTATGTTCAGCTTACTATCTTAAATATCTGTTTAAAATAGCTACAGTTGAGACAAAATGAGAAATACATTTATTTTCTCTGAATTCAAGTCCTTTATCATCATTCCATGAAATTTATTATGAATGATCTTAATATTTCTAAACCAGCCATGCTTACAAGACAAGGTAGTATCATACAATATAGAACAGATAAGTGAAGTTGTAACAGGCACAGAAAAGCAATATGACCATGCTTTCTCCTTTAAAAGAGTATTAATACACTTCTGGTTCCTGTTCTATTCTTTCTTCCATCAATACTAAGAATAAGTGGAAACAGAAACATTAAAATAAAAAGTGACACTCTTCCATAATCATCAATCAAGAAAAAAAAAATTATAACCAGAACTTCTTGTGCCATGACCAGAAATTAAATCCTTAAATGAAGAGGATACTTAAAAAATCCAAAATTACTTTAAAGACTATTAAGGTGCATAGCAATTTCTAAATAGAGCTGGAGTACAAGTAACTTCTCTTCTTTTAATGCCACAGAATACTTCCTAGCAGCTTGAAGATGCAAGTGTCATAATAATAACTGTAACGCAAATGAGTTAAGGAAGTTAAAACCCAATAGTCCCCGAACAGGAAAACAGCACGCAGCGAATTAAGGGTATCTCAGAGGAGGATTTCTAGGAGCCAGCATACATTAGCTCCATGGGCAGACTAGGTGGGTCAGTTACCTATTGTCCTGAGCAAGGATACTCAATTGTATCCAAGGAGAGGTGACACGGATTTAGTGACATCCAGCTCTTGTGTCAGCACCAGCCGGATGGAATCTGCCCACAAGATCTCAGGGCTGATTGAGAATCCTCTGGATGGGGATTCACGGCTTCAGAAAGGTGGACAATGAGTCTCAGAGACACTTTTCCGTAAGACAAAAATGAGAGGGATCCCAATAACTGTTTTCTCTGTGCTGTGGGCTGTTTCTGACTGTGCCCTTCAGTGGGGTGAATGATCTGTCTGTATCGCCCCAAACAGCTGTCCTCTGAAATGCTGATTCTTCACAACCTTCAGATTTGAAGGGCAGCCTGAGCATTATTGACAAGCATTGGTTCACATTGCCTGTCTGCTGCTCCTGCGATTTGCCCGCTGATAGAGGTTACAGTCTCTTATTGTTTCAGTGTGCACCTCGATTCAATCAGGATTCACCACCTTCACCCCAATTCAAAATGTGAAGTGAAAACAGTTTTACCAAAGCCAGTGAAAAATGTATGCCTCATATTTACCTGTAATTATAAACATAAGGTGTTTTAGCAGCGTGCCTGGTCTGTAACAAGTATTTGATAAATGCTGCCTTAGAGAGTCTATCATTTACAGTCTCCCATTTCACATATATAAATGCCTTCTCAGTTAAATTTTCACTTGGTCTTTTCAAAATGTATTATCTTCTCATTTTTTAAAGCAAAGATTTTTAACAGGTAGCTACCATTAGATGAATAATATACAATGTATATCTCAACAATGATATTGATGATTTCATCTTTTATATTTCACTATAGGCCCGGTGCATGGTGGGGTCCCTTGGCTTGGGCTGCGGGGATCAGTGGACATCCAGGCTGCCACAGCCCAG